TGCAATGACACCAATCAAGTCGGTTGGCTAAAGTGAATCATAAAGAATTTTCGGAGTCTACTGATTTGTAGACTTTCTTAGTCAAGACTTGACTGAAAATCTTCACATAGACGAATCGAATTAGCTGAATCAAAAATTGAATCTGCAATTCAAAAACTCAAGAGTGGGAAAATTACGGGTATGGATGGAGCTGGTTCCGAAATGTTTTTGACAGGCTCTAAGCTGTTTTGACGTTTCTAACAATTTTGTTTAATACTAGTTAACTTTTTCAATTTAAAATATATCACGAGAACTGAAAAGAATGAATCGTTATACCTGTACCAATGAAAGGAGGACTTTAAACCCCTAATAACTATAGATTTGAATGATCAGTTAATGGTACGACAAACTATATGGTGTAAAACCAGGCGAACAATTATCTCCTCTGCTCTTCGTATATTTTTATAAATGACGTTGTTGAAAACCTACGTATACAAGATTATAAGAGCTAGTTTATCATTAAAATTAAATTGATTTTAGATATATTTGCTGCTATTCGCAGATGATACCGTGATATTTTGAAAAAAAGTCTGAGACTCTTCCGTATCTATTAGATAAACAACTTGTTTACTATACAAGATGGAAAAAAATTGGAGTAAACAAGAATAAAAACAGTTGTAAGTTGTAGTTTCCGTAAAAGATGACAAACAATACATTATGTTTGGTACTATGACAACACGGATTTAACAGTTGTTAATTCTTATGTTTACCTTGGAGTGCTACTTCATTACAATGGTAACTTTTAACAAACCAAAAAATGTCTAATACAACTGTATGATAGAGCGCTAGCCTTAATGTGAAACACAGTACCAACTATTTCTCCATTATCTAAATTGATGAATGGTTAAGATATTTAGATAATGGAGAAATAGTTGGTACTGTGTTTTTTGGATTTCAGTAAGGCTTCTGATCTCATTTACCATGCCATACTTTTAGAAAAGCTAAAATTTTATCATATCAGAGAACATATGATAAATTGGATAAAATCATATTTGTCTGAAAGACAAGAAGAAGTTCAATACGCAAACATTAAATCTGATAAAAAGTTTGTAAAATATGGAGTGCCTCAAGGTTCTATTTTAAGTCCTCTGTTATTTTTAATTTATATTAATGATTTACCACTTCATGTTAAACAATCTAACATGGATTTATATGCTGATGATTCAACATTGCATTTTCATGATAAGAAAATTGAAAAAATTAACAGCATATTGCAAAATCATTTAAATGCTGTACAATCTTGGTGTAACAATAACAGTATGAACATTAATGCACAAAAAACAAAGTGTATGAAATTGAATTCAAAACAAAAACTTTCACAACTATCAGAATTATGTATTACCATCAACGAAACCTGTATTGAGAATGTCCATTCTTTCAAATTACTTGGAATTGACATTGATGAAAACTTAAGCTGGGAAAAACATGTTGATCGTATATGTAAGATTATCTCATCTAAAATATCACTTTTGTATAAACTTGAAGAATATTTGCCTATTCACATAAGACAAATATTTTATAATGCATATATTCTACCATATATAGACTGTTGTAGTTCAGTTTGGGGAAATTTATTACAAAAAGATTCAGATAGAATCATAAAACTTCAAAAAAGAGTAGCAAGAATTATACTTCAATGTGATATTTCTGTTCCATCTAATTTTATGTTTTCTTCTGTAAAATGGCTATCTTTTACAGAAAAAATAAAATACCAACAATCAATTTTAATGTATACAATTGTAAATGGACTAACAAACACATTACTTATCAATGCTAAATAATAATGATGTTCAACACTAAAACTTACGATCTGTCTCTAATAACGATCTATTTGTTCCAAGACCAAATACTATTTTTTATAAAAAAAATATTTTCATTATTCTGCAACCAAGGTATGGAATAATTTACCATTCACAATTAAAAATTGTCGTAATGTGGAATTATAATTCAAGAAACATTGTTACAATCATTTTCTTGAAATTCTATGCAAGTCAAATAATTTTTCTTTTATGGTTAGAATACGAAAACTTGATCAATTGTTGCCATTTAAATGTTTCAGTGATTGATTTGTATGTATATATATATATATATATATTGTATGTTGACGTATGAATGTTAACTGTATACATGTACAAAGAATTTATTATTATTATTACTAATAAAATCCACTTACATCTCACCAGAACAGAATATGCTATGTATGGCAGTCTTATTTCTTCTGTTTTAACTAGGCGTCGGCAGAAATGGGGTTTTCATCATGCAGAAGAAATAAAGTCGATACATAATAAATTTTGTTAATTTATTTTAAAAGTATCCATAAATAAACCAGTTGTGGTGTTTGTACATAAAAGCATTCGATACTGTTCAAAGGCTTATGCTATGGTATAAATTGTCAAAAATTGGTATTCAAGGTAAACTTTTATCTGTAATTAAATCTATGTATACTAATGTGTCTTCTTGTGTTTGTGTTGATGGTTTTAATTCTGATTACTTCACCAATGAATTGGGCTTGATGCAGGGAGAGGTGTTATCTCCCATACTTTTTTCACTATATGTTAACGATTCTGAAATGCTTTCATTAATAGTAATGCCATACCGTGAGATGAAAGAACTGAATTTATTTCTACTTATGTATGCTGATGATATGGTTATTTTCTCAGAATCTGTTTTAGGGTTACAAAATATGCTTGAAACATTATATGAATATACATCAAAATGGTCATTGAGTGTAAATATTAATAAAACTAAAATTGTAGTATTTAGGAAAGGTGGTAGAGTTCATTTTGATGAGAAATGGTATTATGATAATAAAGAAATTGAAGTTGTTGATAATTTTACCTACCTTGGTGTACTTTTAAATTTTAATGGCAAATATAATATGTTACAACAGAAATTGTCAGAACAAGGTAGAAAAGCAATGTTTGCTTTAAGAAGAAATGTCAAAAGTATGTTTTTAAATTATGTCACTTTGTTATCTCTTTTTGATACTTATATCAATTCTTTATTGAGTTATGCAAGCGAAATATGGGGTGCACATAAAGCCCCGGCAATAGAGAGAGTCCACATGAACTATTGTAAAAATATACTTGGTGTAAAATTGTCTACTAACAATGTTATGATATATCAAGAACTAGGTAGATTGCCTCTTAAGAAGAAAATGCAAGATTTTCAAATATTGGTTTAAATTGCTAAATACTTCTAACTGTATATTGAAAAATTGTTACAATTACTTATATTGCGAATTAGAGAGATGTCCAAATAATAAGTGTAACTGGTTGTATTTTATAAAGAATGAACTTTTTGTTATAGGTTTAGGTGATGTATGGTATAGCCAAAACCTTATTTCAGACTTGCCTGATGTATATTTTGCTGTTATAAAGCAACGGATGTATGATTGTCTTAAACAAGAACTTGATGCTCAGTTGCATACTTCTCAAAAATGTTCTAAGTATAAATATATGTTAGATAATTTTTGTCTGCAATTTTATTTATGTAAACCAATTCCTAAGGTTTACAAAACATGTATAACAAAAATAAGATTAAGTAGCCACAACTTAGCTATAGAAAATGGAAGATTTTATGGTAAAACAAGAAATAATAGAACATGTACTTTTTGTAAAAATGATATAGAGGATGAGTTTCATTTCATCCTCAAATGTACATTTTTTCAAGGTTTTAGAACAATTTACATTAAGCCATATTATTGGAAAAAACCATCGATGTACAAATTTATTAAACTAATGAGTTCAAACAATGTAAAAGAGCTGTGTAATTTAGGTAAATTTATATTTAGATCTTTTAAGTTTAGAACCGAAATGTTAAAATAATGTTTATGTATTACTTCAACACCTTCTGCTATTCTGTCACATAGTTTGTGTTTATGTATTTATTGTATGTATTATTGATGTTGATGTAATTCAAATGTGTACCTATAGTTTATATAGACTTTGGTAATAAAGATATATATTGGTGATCTTTAACATATATACCTATGTATGTTACTAGGAAACAAAAGTTAAAATACAGGGTTAAAATTATAACTCGGAAACATGAAGTACTCTTAGTGCTGACGATAATCTTTTAAGTTCATTTTATCTGATAAGAGGTTATAAAGAAGTGGTCTTTGGGTGATTGTTAGCGCTTAAAAATTTAATTGAACGCGCAGATATTTTATCTGCAATAATGGTTGAGAAAATTTGGTGACAAATATCTGGGATTAAATTATCTCGACAAGAACAAGAAAAAAGATATTCTCGTTTTGACATTTTAAGATAAGTTGTGGCGTGCATCTGTAGAGCTCTGGAAAAAAAACTCATATTGTATTAAATAATAAAAGCAGGTTTTAATTCGAAGAAGATATATATATTGAAAGATGTTGTCTTTATTAACATTTGATGTATTAAATATGAATATGGAGATAAGTCGTTAAATAAATCTACGAAGGGAATAAAGAATGTGTAGGTGTTGTACTCCGTATAACATGGTTTGTCCAGCATAAAGATAGTATAGACTGAAACATTTTTGAAGATATTATTATTGTACATGGCCAAATATTAACAAACTGTATTCATTGCTATAAGTTCAAACAAAATCAGTTATTTACAATTCGATATGTTTTGGTTCTTTCTTTTTTGCGTGAAAGTTGGAAACTGAGAACTTTCATCTTAAAGCAGTTATATTGTCTACTTTCATGAACAAAATGTTTATAATTTATCATTTGTTTGACCTCTACTGTTATAATTACCATATTTGAAATTTCATGTTGCTCTCACTTGACAATGTTCTAATTAAAATATGCTAAAGAATAATTTGTTTGTTTGCAATAAACGACTTTATCTTATCGAATACAGACACATTTACCTATTGTACACCGTAACAGTATAAAAATCCACAAAAAATCTTTAAATTATTGTATATTAAAAATGTGTAAATAAACAATATATCACCAACTAAGAAATATCCAGACGAGCAGCTAGGTGAGGTGTTAAAGCCACACTTATTTTGTTCAGTGATATTGTCATTTAGTTTCTGTGTTGTGGATTATAAAATAGCACAGTCAATGCAACCGGTTTATATATGATGATATACTCATAAATTACTTTTTGTTAATGAAGTATTTTATTTGAAATTGTTTTAACCTGGTATATTTCTTACATAATTTTAAAACTTAATCATTAAATTTATTATTTTCGCACTGTCCAAAACAAAACATTAACATTAAATCAAATAAATGTGATCAATTTATCACACATTACACTTATAAAAAGTCACTTCCCAATATTTCTTCCTCGTGTCCACGAGGTTCTTAAAGGTAAATTTACCATAATCCGATCAATATTTATTGATCGATTAGCTCACACATAATGTTGTTGTCTGTCCGAGATTACGTTCTTTATACATAGGTGATCATTAAAATTGTATAGGATGATCGTCAAGTTGAATAACATGCTGTATTGTAAACTCAGCGATGTAGAACGGACCGAAACAGCACTTTATTTATAAAAATTGTGACAGTACTTCTCATTCATAACTAAAGTGTGGGTGTCAACGATTGAATCACCCCGAAAGGCACCACCACAGACGACAGTTAGACAGGATGTGTATTTCCTCATCATATTCCGTTTTTAGTGAAAATATAAAAATATTAGGACTTTCATAAATGGATAACCATTTTGACTTTATCTTCGCTGAAACATGCAAAATTAAATTGATTGATGGCCGTTCGTCTATCCTTTGTGATTTACCTAGGACAGGTGTTAATCACGTTGTTGATATTATTTCGAGGTGTATCGGGTATGTACATTTAGTTCTTTATGTTATAAACTGGTGGGGGTATGCATGTGAGCTTTTCAGTCAAAATTAAATCCCCATATTTTTCTTTGTCTGGCACTGAAAGGCAGACATATTCGATTCATCTAACAATGAATCAGTTCAGAGCCAAACTGCTCTTTCTGTTTTGATGTCTTTTTTTTTTACTTTTATCTAAATCGTTCAATTTTTTGGACATGGATTTCTTTAAACATGTTAATCAGTTAATACAGTAGTTAATACAGTTAGGATACCTAAGCTTATATATATATATATATATATATATATATATATATATATATATATATATATATATATATATATCATCTCTCTGTTAGGCCAAGAAAAGTATGTGTGTGCTTATAAAGGTTGCAAAGCGGTAAGCTTAAAAGTTTACTAATTTTCAAAATATACTATTTATGTATAACAACCTCGGCTTTAATGGTGATTGACTCAAGCGTCAATGGTTAATTGTATTTTGTGTAGGAGAACGTACTGCATGTTACATATGTATTTGTTGGTCTTGTACAACACATGATAAAACAATAAAACTGAATTTTGATGAAATCATAATTCAAATCACATATGATTTTATGAGACATTGTCTTATTATTGTACTTTTATGAGACTTAATAATTGATAAATGTACCTTCTCATTAATCTGCAAAGTATCATTTAGATTTTCATAAATTTTATTTAAAGTAATACACCGAGGTGGTGTCGCCAGATTTGACATTGACGTGGATAAATATCAACATTTGAAATATTACATATTTGACATGTTGTCCGGTAATGAAGCATGAGATAATTAAGGACATATTATTATGATTACCACCACAGAAAGGTGTAATATTTACACACTCTTAAAGTGTGTAACCAGCACAATTATATACCAACAATGTCGGTTTCTATAAAGTTTTTAAACTGTTAGTTGTTTTCCCCTGACCAAGAAGATTCGCTTTAAATGTCGATTTTAAAACCTATAAAATTCAAATTTTCCTAACCACCCAGCAATATTAGTCGATCTCAGCTTGATTTAAGATAACCTTTGATGGACAGCAATTACCTCAGCAACCGGTACTCACCGAAGATATCAACTCTAGATATACTATTGTTAAAATGAAATGAAATCAAAATAAGTATATATTACACGGTATTTTAACTAATATCCTAAGGATCTAATGTTAAACTAGACTTGTCATACCACATCTTCTTTTTTATATTGACATGGATACACTGGCTAGAAGGCTTTTTCGTATATGTAAAACAATTTGTTTAAAGTGCATGTGTGTACACCTTTTACTTTAAATAAAGGTTTAACTTTTTAAGATATTTAGAAAAGAGTTGTGGGATTAAATTGAAAAGATTATGATAACAAACAAACCATGTAATTTTTACGTAACTCGGGAGTGTTATCATGTTATGTTATTTTCTCGAATATCATTAATAAATAAGACCATTGCGAGACATGATTCAATGGGTGTATTAAATACGTATTACTCTGAAATAGGTGAGAATTTTATCGTCTAAATCTATAAATTTATATGAAACTTATATGAAACGGAAAAGGCAACTAAAAAAAGGCATTTGACATTAGAATTGTGGTTTTAGCTGTGGTTTATATAAAGATTAGCGGTAAAAAAAAACTTTGAACATACGCTATCTCGCGAAAAGCTGGCTTTAGTTTAATCGGATTTGAAGAAAAAGATGTTTTTCTCACAAATTCTGTTGATTTGACGATAGTTTGGTTGTTTAATAATGGAATGGATAATGGAGCATTATTTTATGTCAATTTGCAGTGGCTGTATATGCATGTATACCCACATTACTTTTTATTCATATGTATTATATATAAGTCTTTGTAGTTCTATTTCCAACATACAAAAGACCAATGGATAATGAGTATATATAAGTTATTTTCTGGATTTTTTTCGCATTAATTTTTTTTATATGAATGCAGCTTGAAAATAATAATAACGAGATGTGGCATAATTGCCAATGAGACAACTATCCATCGAAGACCAAAGGACAAGGATTTAAACAACAACGAGCTTATAAATTCTGAATTTCTGAAAATCATACATCGTCTGACTTTTTATTATGAACAAAATCAATTATCACTTCAATTAACATTTAAGGAAACATTTCTCGTCGTTAAACCATATTCTATTGACACCATTTCATAAATTTATAGATCAAAAATAGAAAATGATGAATATAGTTCGATTACAATCAACACATTATCTGTTCAAACAAACCTTTAGTACTTGACCTTTTTTTTGTACGATAAAAAGCTTCAAACAATACACAACAGATCTAAAATTACTACACATGTTTTTCGATCCAATGGAAATGTGATAGTTATAAAATATTTATTACGAGAAATAAAATTGCGAGTTCTTATTGATTCGTATTTTGTAACAGTAAAAAATATTTAGTTTCGATCCACTAAAAATTCAGATGATAGACGAAACCCCTAAAAAGGTGACCTATACATGTACGTGCACTCGTTTTATACATAACTGAACTTTGTTAATTTCAAACTGTATGTCCTCCTTTTATGACAAATGCTTTTAGACATAGTATTAAAAAAACGAAACTGAGATTGTCGTCTAGAGTTGACTATGTATCGAACTTTACAAAACTCCTCTGACTAATTCACTGATACTATCTTCTCTCTCTCCATTAGTTTCTATTAACCCGTGAAAAATAGCAAGATTCATATCATCTTTACAAACTCTCAAACACCTTACTTCCGTCTTTAATTAAAGTTAAATGTCTTCAAGGATTGTGTTTCATATTTTCACAATTTGTTTGTGAAAATGAGAGAAAGCGCAGTGAAGTTCACAGTTTTGCCTCAAGTTGGGATTTGATATTATTTTAGAAATCTTTTGTGTTGATTTTGTACACCTGGGTAATTGCTTACAAATCAAATCATACCATTTGATTTTTTAACATGCACAATCTTTAGGTTTTAACATTTTTGACAAAACGTGAACGGAAACGATAATATTTGTCTATTGAATTACGACCTTAAATGTTGAAAAGAAGCATTTATTAAAAATTCAATATGATTAAACTGTCTGCCTTTCATCCTTGATCCTTTAACATAATGTGAACTTGTACATACAGTAAACAATCTAAGACTTGTTTAACTTTGTATCAATAAAAAGATACAGACTATTTATTGTTTATAGATAAATATTTGTCAAATATCATAGGAATGACATAACTGTCCTTTGTCTATATATATATAAAGTATTTGGTAGCTATTGTTTACCTGTAGTATAGTCATATACACATATCAAAAATAAAAATCTATAAATGGTCTAAATCGTTTGATTCAAACCTCAATATAAAAAAAAACATCTTTTGCTAATGTTTTCATATCTATGCGTTGCTCCTGCAAAACCAAAAAACTTATATACAAGGAGAGTTTTATGGACAAGTGAGAAAGCAATAGATACATGTAAACCATGAAACCATCCAAATTATTATTGTCCAGCAGCGCAGATCAAAGATGTCTGAATACCTTCAGTGTCGAGATCAAACTTTATCCACACTACTGAAGTTTTATATACAGTATAATACATCCATATCCATATAGAATTAGGAATCCTTTACCAATTGTTATATTTTCATTTTACTTTAACCACATGGATTTTAGTGCATCAGTAATATAACCTAAAATATCATCACCATCACTGCGATACAACCTTTTTGCGGTTGATGCGGCGTTAAGCAATCACAAATCAATCAATAATAAATATCATCACATTCACAGACAATTCTTTCTATGCATCTTCGTGTTTTTCAATAAACATTATCCAGTATTTATTATTAGTCTAAAAATGTTTGTGATGTTATTGCCTCACTGGCGTTTTCCCTATAAGTCATGAATTATTCTTATACAAAATTAAATTTGTTTCTCATTAAAACACAATGTTGATACTATTTTTTCCTCTGTTTTACGCCCATGACTCAAAAGTAGCAGACTGCAAAATCTTGAAACTTCTCTGTTTTATTAAAAGGGCATTAAATAAACAGGGTATTATGGACATATCAAAGTTGACCTTTTTACACTGACAACTGCAATTTAGAAACGAAAAGTTTAAAATAAAGATTGTATACTTATAATTAGTTGTGTTCATTTTGATCGCCAGACTTAATGTACAATATAATAAATTCGTCAAAACAACATACGTCTGATAGATTATTTTAGGTTTTACTAAATATTAAAAGCATTTGAAGAACCTTAATTATTGAGCTAATTTTTACTCTTTTCATCTTTCCAACATCTACATTATAGAAGTTCGCCTTCCATTGTTTTAATTACATCTTGGTCAAACTTGTTACTCATACATATTCTCAGCATGATGACTGGTACTCATTTCCTTATTTTATATTTGAAATAGTGACTTAACAATCGATAATCCAGGAGAAAAAAACAGATTCCTAATTGTGTATTGTTGTTATTTCTGGGAATGTAACTGAAATAGATAACCGTATTTCGTTTCCGTGTAGGTACGCGCTTTATTAGTAATTTTTGTAATTTATAAATTTTTTATTGAGGTCAACAAATCCGGTAATCTATCAACCCTAACCATCAATTGTTTAAAATGTATTTTCAAAATCAACTTTCAGAGAAAGAAATGATATACCAAAGCTATATATTTACTAACCTGGGATCCAGGCTAACTGCACGAAATACCTTCAACAACAGCACATAGCGCTGAATTACTTTTATACTATATATAAGAAATATTTAAAATTGTCGAAAAATGTTTAAAGTACATGATAAAGACTCCCTAATATTCAAACTACAGTTGGATTTTGGCATGTTTAGATCATTCAACCCTACGAATGAAACAAATACAGGGTTAAGTTGTCCTACCTCTTTGAAAATTTGAACATGTTGAAAAAACCTGCATGTAACAATGTTTTATTAAGGAAAGTCTGTCAGAAAAGTATCTATAATACATTATTAGTTCTGTTTTCCAGGAGACTGCACTAACTGCAAGCCAGGTCATTGTGACAGTAGTCAAACATGTGGTGAATGTGTTGATGGTTGGTGGGGTAACCCATGCGTTAAAAGATGTGGTTCTCAATGTCAAACGGTACAAATATCCACGGGAATATTCAGTAAAGTGTGTGAGAAAGACACTGGGAAATGTAAAGGTGGTTGTAGAAACGATGTCTACGGGGAATACTGTAATAAACAATGTAGCAGCCACTGTCTACAACTTACAGGAAGAATATGTGATCTTGTCAGCGGTAAATGTTTACATAGTTGTATTCAAGGTTACTATGGACAAGATTGCACATCAACATGCAGCAAAGGTTGTTTTCCTATGGTAGTGAAAGGTGTTGCTGGTTACGTTAACAAATGTAGTCCACAAACCGGAGTGTGTGAAAGTGAAAAGGGATGTAAACCAGGCTGGTGTGGAACAAAATGCGACGTATCATGTGGAATTAACTGTAATACTACATATAGCGCTTATTTTCGGGAAGACGTGAAGCAATGCTCCTGCGCAACAGGAAAGTGCACAGATGGCTGCGAGTCCGGTTGGTACGGTGAAAACTGTGAATGTACATCAGAAAATCTGAAATGTGATGAATTTGGATGCAATAAAACCACACGATTGTGCAACTTTTGTCAAACTGGGTATCATGGGGGTAAGTGTGATCAGACTTGTCCTCGCAACTGCGGATCAGACGGATGTCACAGAAACAATGGAACATGTATAAACTGTAAAAGCAATTTGTATGGAGCTCAATGCCTATGCAAAGGCTATTGCGACCTTGCTGGCTGTGATAGTCAAGGAAACTGCCGTTCTTGTGCGCCAGGTTGGCATGGAAGTCGCTGTTTAGATTCATGTCTTGGAAACTGCAAAGACAGATGCGATAGAAACAGTGGGAAATGTTTGTCCTGTCGTGATGGATTCTATGGAGAACAATGCGAAACGCGGTGTCCATTAAACTGCCATGAAACCCTCTGTGAACAATATACGGGACACTGTCTTCAGTGTGTGAAGGGATTCTATTCAGAAGATTGCTCTTTAACGTGTCCAGTGGGATGTGACAGTTCAGGGTGTCAGAAAATAACTGGAGCTTGTTATAACTGTAAACGTGGTTTTACTGGAAATCAGTGCGAATGCCATGGATATTGTTCGGGAGAAGGATGTAATAGCACTACCGGCTTATGTAAAAACTGCCAGTCTGGATATTACGAAACGTCTTGTGACAAATCATGTCCTAAAAATTGTAACGATAATAAATGTGAAAGAAATTCAGGAAATTGCTCTTCGTGTAAAGATGGATATTATGGATCTGTCTGTGTGTGCTTAGGTAATTGCAAAAATGACCAATGCAATGAGCGCGGCGTATGCGCTAAATGTTCCAGTGGTTGGTATGGTGAATACTGTACCAGCAAATGTTCTGTCAGCTGTGATGGTGGATGCGACAGAATCAGTGGATTTTGTGAACGATGTAACCCTAGCTGGTATGGTCCACAGTGTAAATGTAAAGGACACTGTACTCAGAATGGCTGTGGTGCAGATGGAATATGTTTGGCTTGTTCTGGTGGATGGTACGGACAAAACTGCCTCCAAAACTGCTCGTCAAATTGTTTGAGAGAAGATTGCGAACGATTAACAGGAACGTGTAGCAGTTGCCAGGTCGGATTCTTTGATAATGACTGCCATAGTATATGCCCTGTCAACTGTTTCAGTTCCGAATGCTCTAAGAGTGGTGGAAAATGCTCGTATGGATGTAAGACTGGTGGATTTGGAGATTTTTGTAATTCAACATGCCCGCATCATTGTGATGAACAGGGGTGCTTAGGCAATGGTGAATGTTACGGGTGCGAGTCTGGTTGGTTTGGTTTGCAGTGCCAATGCAGAGGTCATTGTTCTGAACTAGGAAAGTGTAACACAGATGGGAGGTGAGAAAAACTTATATATCAATTTGATATTTATTTAATTAGCTCACCTGACCCGAACTGTTAAGTGAGCTTTTCTCATCACTAGGCGTCCGTAGTCTGTCGTCACTTTTACAAAATATTCACCTCTGCAACTACTGGGCCAATTAGAAGAAAATTTTGCTACATTCATAATTGGAGTATTTAGTTAAAATGTATCCGATGATAACGTTAAAACTGTCAGACGACATTTTATGTGAGTTATTGCCTTTAGAGGACGAATTTTACCAAAAGTTTTTTTCGTGTTTGCTATTTTTGCCGAGTTAAAACATTTTTGCGAATGTTCAAACCTCCACCTGACCTGGGGCAGTGGTGTAGCAGTATAATATAAGAACAAACTATAAAAATCAATAGGAAAAATGTTTGATTCATTAGATCGGCACGATGCACAAAATAACGAGTCTTTGATACTTGATTTTTTTTATTAGTTGTTATTGGCTCTGAAATAGCTTTCAGTAACTGCGAGTACTTTGTAATTTGTCTTTAATGCATTTTTATTAAATGTTTTTGTGCTTTTTATAGATCTTTATAGTTTGTTCTTATGTTGTGCGGTACCACTGTCCCATGTTAGGGCGAGGTTTTGGCGCCCGCAAACATGTTAAACACCGCTGCATTCTGTGTGTATATAAAAAAAGAAGATGTAGTATGATTGCCAATGAGACAACTCTTCACATGAGACCAAATGACACAGAAATTAACAACTATAGGTCACCGTACGGCCTTCAACAATGAGCAAATCCCATACCGCATAGTCAGCTATAAAAGGCCCCGAAATAACAAATGTAAAACAATTCAAACGAGAAAACTAACGGCCTAATTTATGTACAAAAAAAAGGAACGAAAAACAAATATACAACACATCATCAAACGACAACCACTGAATTACAATCTCCTGACTTGGGACAGGCACATACATACATAATGTGGCGGGGTTAAACATGGTAGCGGGATCCCAAGCCTCCCCTAACCTGGGACAGTGGTGTAACGGTGCAACATAAGAACGAACTATAAAAATCAGTTGAAAAAGGCTTAACTCATCAGATAGATACAAATAGAAATACATCTAACAAAAACACAGAGTGGACGTGGCCGGGTACTTGTACATCCCAACAACAAAAAGACACTAAGTACAGATCTGATAGTACTCGCAGTTACTGACAGCTAGTTCAAAGCCAATAACAACTAATAAAAAACATCATGCATCTAAGACTAAATTATCAATCATTACACATCCAACTTCCAATGGATTTAGTGTAAAGGGTCCGTCTCAAGTCAGGAGCCTGTAATTTAGTGATATTCCTTTGTTGCTGTATATCAAATTTGTTTTTTTGTATTGTTTTGTACATAAATCAGGCCGTGCATGAGTTTTCTCGTTTGAATTGTTTTGCATTTTCCCTTTTCAAGTCTTTTATAGCTTGCTATGCGGTATAGATTTTAATTATTGTTGAAGGCCGTACGGTCACCTATAGTTGCTAACTCCTATGTCATTTGGTATCTTGTCAAATCTTCTTATTTTTATATCAACGTAAAGACAAAAGACACAAAGTACCGATCTAAGAATACTCGCAGTAACTGGAAGATAGTTCAAAGCCAAAAACAACTAATAAATAAATCGTGTTCTCCCAATCTAAAGTATCAAGCAGTACACATCCAACGAATTTAGTGAAAAGACGTCATAAACAATTTGAGAAAAGTATGACATTTGACTATGTAATCGACTCATATTTACCATGTTTACGGAACCCGTATAACAGTAACCTATTATACGTATAATTTCATCCAATCTGGATGTTTGCTTTCGTGTATTCAAGTTCTAGTTATAGACTCGGGTGTCAATTAAGGTCGATTAATTTGAATCCAGTTGATAAATTAATCAAGTATATAAATAAAAATAAACAAGACTATTTGACTTTGTCATATTTCACATAGGAGTTAATGCTTTGAAATGTAACAGTTTAAGCCTCTACGCAATTTCATTCAACATTTCTTACTCTGCCAAGTTTATCTGCAGTATTATCACGTCTGCAACTCAACACGCATTTAATTTTAAAAATAGATTTTTAAAGCCATATTTAGTTTCAATTTGTTAAAGACATGCATTGTTTTCTTGTGGTTATCAGTTGTATCTGAAACATCTGTCATCTGTCCACTGGTCAATTGTTCATAAAACTTTTATGGTATGCAAGTTTTTGAATAAAACTGTCTGAGATTTTACTATAGTGCCTAACAACATTTTGTGAGGTAGACGAAATTGACCTTAAAACGATCGTATTGAATTTTGATGTCCAAAAATAGGCAGATCGGACATATTTTGACTGTATTCACTGACTACTTTTGTTTGGGATTAATTGCAATTATAACATTATAATGCTTTTGTTTTTGTTAAGATAAACAATAATTTTACCTGGCGTAGCCGTGCGTAAAATGTATTTCGGCATTTCTCTTCGAAAAATGACTTGTTTAATGGAATAAAACGTCTGATTTGTAAACTTTCTCTTTTTTCTCCGGAATAGGCTATTAAAATATAATTTATCTACTCTATATGTGAAAATATAAGAAGTGGCAATTCTTACCTTTCATACCTTAAGTTTCATTGATAAAAATAATGTTGACTCGTCCAGTGTCCAGTTTGAAGGTAATTTAAATTACTGTACACATGCATGCATGCTCTGATTTAATCAATATACGTGTATGAATAACTTAATCAAATCAAATTGCGTAAGATTCAATAACAATGACCGGTCCACATTATAATCATGATAATAAGAAGTAATAGGGGTAAACTGGGTAGGGAGAAAATGACAGATATTTAAAGTTCAATTTTTGCAATAACGAATAAAAATCGTTCATTTGCATATTTAAGGCAATAGAAAGTTTGGGCTTCAAAAGTCTACATCATTATTGACTTTATACAGAAAATACGCCATTTTAAAACATTTAATGTTTCACAAATAATGCATGGATACAAAGTAAAATCATTTCTTAAAACACTACAAAAAAATCATGCTGATTGGTATAGTGGTATTGTCATACAGTGCGTTGAAATGAAACTTGGTATAGAATTTCCTCACAAAATGTTATCACACACTATACTTTAATTTTTGATAGTCTAATTGATTATTATCATTCCTTTCATTTCCAGGTGTCATCAGTGTAAACTCGGATATTTTGGAGAAAATTGCAACCAGACGTGTCCTCAAAATTGTAAAGGAAGTTGTAATAGAGGTGAAGGTTCGTGTGATCAATGCATTCTTGGTTACCATGGTGAATTTTGCAATGAGCCATGTCCTACAAATTGTAACAATAATATTTGTAATAAAGCCGACGGTACTTGTTCTAAATGTGAAGCAGGATGGTATGGGTCAAAATGCGTGTGTACTGGACTGTGTGGACCTGGGGAGTGTGATTTAAATGGAACTTGCTTTACGTGCGCTGTTGGGTATCATGGACTAGCATGCAATGACTTTTGTTCGTCAACTTGTACAAGGAAGGGCTGCCTACGTAAAAATGGACATTGTCTAGAATGTCCAGTGAAAACGTCTGGATCGTTCTGTAATTGCAGTGGATATTGTTTAAATGGTAGATGCAATACAGCAGGTAAATGTAACAATTGTAACGCATCATGGCATGGTGACAATTGCGATCAGTCTTGCCCGAAAAACTGCGCGACTAAAAATTGTGATCGCATAACAGGTGCATGTTCTGATGGATGCATAAAAGGCTTTTTCGGACCAAAATGCACGTGCTTAGGTCACTGTAAAAGTGGATGTGATGACACAGGAAAGTGTTTTGAATGCGAAGATGGATGGCAGGGTATTCAGTGTACGGAAAAATGTCCTGTCAACTGTCTATCAGCATGCGCCAGAAACAACGGACATTGCCTCCAATGTAAAACGGGTTGGTATGGCGCTGAGTGTACATGCATTGGACATTGTGATGCCAGAGAATGTAACGAAAACGGCATTTGTTTTTCGTGTGCTGAAGGTTGGTCAGGGGACAATTGTACAGTGCCTTGTCCAAAAAATTGTAAAGACAACATTTGCCTACGTAATGGAAATTGCGTCAGTTGTAAAAGTGGGTGGTATGGAAATACGTGTCAATGCTCTGGTCAATGTTCAGGTAGAGGCTGCAACGTGACCTCTGGAATTTGTCATGAATGTGAAATAGGTTTCCACGGAAATACATGTCTTAATTCATGTCCTCGAAACTGTGATAATTCAGAATGCTCACGTAATGGTCGATGTTTATCTTGTTCAGCAGATTGGTATGGTGATAAATGTAATTGTTCTGGAAACTGTGGTATATCGGGTTGTGACACAGCAACACACACTTGTTACAACTGTGAAAAAGGTTGGCACGGTCCAAAATGCCTACAAACATGTCCTTTCAACTGTGAGGACACGGGATGCCATAGAAAATCGGGTGACTGTTTGTCATGCGTTCCAAACCGTTCTGGAGATAAATGCCACTGCATTGGATATTGCGATTATTCTCATCCGAACATGTGCACTAACACTGGAGACTGCTACAACTGCAGTAAAAACTACTTCGGTGTTAACTGTGATCAAATGTGTTCAAAATATTGTGACGGATGTGATAGAAAATCCGGATTGTGCACAAAATGTAAGCAAGGTCTTTATGGTCAAACATGTAAACAGACATGCAATGCTGATTGTTTTGAACTATACTGTGGGAAAGACGATGGAAAGTGTCTTCGTTGTGGTCCAGGTCGTTATGGTGATTTCTGTGAGAAAAATTGTAGTTCTAACTGCATTGGTGGATATTGTTCTCAGAATGGGACTTGTCCATTGGGATGCAAATCTGGGTGGAAGGGCATGTCATGTATAGAACCTACTGGCATAAGTTTGGTATTGATTGTAGTCATGTCAGTTTGTGGTCTGGTTATATTCTTGCTGGTGTTTGTTTTCATCTCATGTGCCTGCAGGTAGGCTATATACACAATTTGTGTTTTTTCTTTCAAATATATCAATATATCATAATCATATTAATAAACTAAATGATTATATATACCTACAATACCAGCTAATGTTAACCAGTAGATGTAATCTCATAAGCGTTTTTTAGCCTTACATTTCTTAGTTCAGGATATATGTGTTAACAATTATATATTGATAAGAAATCAAGAAGGATGTGCAGGAAACTATGCTCGATATGTTGTTTTTTTTTACGGAAGACCATAGCTATGAATGACAAATTGTTTTATTGTTTAAGTTTTTTCTTCCTTAATATCATAAATATGGTAATTTTTGTTTAAATATTATAACCTTTATATAGGTTAACGGCATCATAAATGTTGTTTATCTGTAGTCACACTAAAAAAATAGCCGTGTCTTGTTTACAGAAGGAAAGAAATGACAAAAGCAACTTGTATAAGTACAACTAAGATATTATATATATCGCGTAGTGTACAGTGTTATATCAGTAAAAGTAGTAAGTTAATTTCCCTCCATTTTTTATGATTAAGGAGACGGTCATTATTTTGTTGAATGTTTGATATTTGAGGCGCTTTACTGCTAACTTGATTTCACTCTTGAAGTCTAAAATAAACTTAGAAATACATAAAAACGCACTGTCCATTTTCAAGTTTTTGCTTAATTTTTGTTCAAAGATGAAATAAAGCTGTTCAGCATTTAATAAAAAATAATTAAAGTTGATGAAGTAAACTTCTTTTTTATAGCAGCACCAAAGTTTTTTTTTTAAAGATCACTGACGGACCTCACAGCAATAAGCTTAAAGTTGGCAGTAAAGCTCCTTTAAGATGCATGAATCGTAACATGGTGTTTTGAAAGCTTATTACTAACATATTGTTTTGTCATTCTTTTTTAAATACGTTGTATTTAAAAAAAAAACAAGACGTGCATATCAATATACGAATGACAAAGTGATTTTAATCATGACAATTATGTTGTATTTGTCTAATGGAATTCATTGTGATACTGCATGTTATGCCTAGTTTTGTTAGTATTAAAAATACATACTGCTAATGTATAAAGCCGAATATCAGATGTACTTTACGTTTATGCTTTAAGAATTACAAAACTATTTTTTGTTGAAACAGATGTCAAATCTTTTGCCGGATGTGTAACATTCAAGGTTTATTCATTATGCAACCTTTCATTCTATACATGAATGAAATAATTGTATGAATTTTTTATGTAATTTACAGTAGAAGAGACCCAGGGGATGGAAAAGGAAAATACACAGCAACAACACATTTAAGGAGATGGGGGACTGTAGTACGTACTCATACACCAAATATCCACCATCCTGCTAACAGAGAGGCTAATAACGGACATATAACAGGTAATCATATTCAATATAATACAATACCAGAGACATATGATATTGTATTATATTTTTCGGACAATAAAAATTAATAATGAGACGCCACAGACTGATATGTCACATAAAGATAATACACACCCAACATCCACCGTTATACAATGCCCTGACAAATGTCATTTCTTACAGAAAGTGTTTCCGTACATAATTTAGCAGGTTCAATTAAATTTTAACAGTCAGAAAAACATGATAAATCCATTATAATGTCATCCTCAAGTGGCCATAAAAATAACATGATATAAAACTGACTAAGCAGGTAAATAACAGTGCACAGGAAACACATTCCTCTATCATTTGTTATGGGTTACTTTCAAGTATTTACCCGTTTAAGTACTAAAAAAAAGTTTCTTGTAAAATAGAAAATTCGGAACAATACATAAATTGTGTTGACATTGTATGACGGGTACTACTGGTAAACTGTCGCTGAATCACCAATTGTCCAAATGAGTAACAACATAAGTGCTACTTCACTGATACGTAGCTGTTCTTGTCTGTGATTGGTTAATTTCGAGATTTTATTAGGTTTTTTTTTCTACAAACGTATGTTTTTTATTTTTTACAGATAGGTATATGGATACTGAAATGTAGAATAAGAGGTTCATAGTCAGCCTACAACTCCTGCTTTTAACGTGCAATACAAAACTGAAAAATCCATTATGTACACAAAAATACTCGTGCCAAAGTCATGACTAGTCACAACTACAGTGCTTCATCATGTGTTCAAAGGCTTATAAAGCTGCTGTATTGTATTAAACACATTATGTATACGTCCTTGTAAATAAACTGTCTTTCACAACATTACATTGGTGTTTAGACTGAATGGATGTAACATGAGACTACAGTAGTCTTAGATAAAACAAGTTGCTTTTGGAATGTAAAACCTTGGTTATCTACCGTTAAAGAGGTTATCATAAGAGAGAGAGAGATATTATGTTTGCCTTTTCTTGTCATAGGAGTAAAACCACCAAATTGTCTCTAGTCTATCTAATGTTCTTTGTTTTTGTATATTTGAGAAACAGTGATTGACATGGTTGATGTTTTGTGGGACAAAAGCAAGACATTTTAATTGTCCCCACTGTTAACTTTAGCAGATAAGATTAATTTCTTGTATATCATTCACATCGTATGGTTCAATAGTTGATATTATTTTCTTTTAGTTGATATTATTTTCATTATGTTTCATTTACATTTTTTTTTTTGCAGCTTACTGCATGTATTGACTTTTTAGGAGACCAATGTAATGCTTAAAGCCTTTGTTTAAATTTTTTGATAGAGTCCATTTTTATCCATTTGATGGTGAACCTCCATTGATTCAATGAGCCAGCATATTTTGTGGTTTTTATGTTTTATCCATTAAGAATCATACTTATTAATTAAAGTAATAAAAAGGAAGCAACAGTAGATTAGCAGATATATTTATAATAATAATAGTAAAAATGTCTGCGTTCCAATACCATTTATTACCAAAGATCAGCTAATATTTTACCTTCCTGGTGTTGCCTTATTGTCTCATTTTATTTTATCTTATTTCTTATTTTTTTCTATATATATATATATATATATATATTTTTTATTTGAATCAAATCATGTATAGCAAGGACGGCTATCTTTTGATGGAAGTGAAGCTCTCAAAACCACCTCAATCTCTCTGAAAGTTGAAGTTGTATTAGTTTTCCTCCATAGCGAAATAGTGACTTTGCTGGCTATCGTTATTACAACTATCTAGTACTTTATATGTATACTATCATGTTTATAAATGATGTTGATAAATTGCTATGATGTTACATGTAATTTACATTTCTTTATTTATTTGATTTTTTATTGGATTAATAGTGCCATTTGAGGTATAAATCCTGCTGATTTTTTGCTTTGTATGTTGTAGTTAGATAATACAGTGGGAATAACTAAAAATAATTGTAATTTAGACACGAAATTTAATGGTATGAAATTTTAATCATTTAATATTTGTTATTTATTTTTTATTGAAAAAGATTCTTTTGGAATATTTAGGTTTTAAAGATATTTAAAAAAAAAAAGACATTTTTGAAATTCACATACAATCTGAGTTTTATCGTTAATGAAAGTGTTTTCAGTTTGAAGTCAACTGAATAATGTGTGTATGATAAATTATTTGTCTAGGCTAGCTTTATTTCAACTAACATCACCATTTAGTGCTTTAATGATAAGATTTTGGTAATTGGAAAAGAATATGTGATACACATGAATATGTGCCTTAATACACCATGGTCTAAAATATCATGAAAGTTCAATTGAAAGACGGTTTGTAATTGACAGACAGATCTATGTGAAATAGAACCCCAGAAACATTTCTTAGTCAACACAGGTAACAAAAACTCTTTCACTCTTCTAATGTGAACCAGATACAACAAACTACATCAAGACATAGAACCACAAATTCAGGGCCCGGGCTTTCATTCCAGAAGGTATTACATATTTAACACATATTTGAAATAGTTCACATGCACTTGTATCTGAATTTTTATAACCTTTATACCTTTGTGCCTCTGCCACAGCTGCAAGTGTGAAATATTTGCGCAAGTTTGGTACCAAATGAAAACTAATGGACAATGGATCACTGTAGAACACTTTTTGAATGTTGATTTTAAATAATAACAAAATGAATGAAAATAGTAAGGTTTACCAGAGACATATATATACATATCTCTCTGGGTTTACTTTGCCTGTTTCTCATATAAGGAGTACCTGGTTTTTTTTACTTCCGAACTTCCGGGAACCAGTGCGCTTTTATATGCAATTATGGGTATGCTGATTTTATGATCAATATTGTTTTTACATGGAATTACTTTCAATTTATTTGAACTTAAGCCACAATAGCTATGCTTGAAATTGCAAATTTAACATAGAAAGCAATGGGTCCATGAATTAGTGGTTTTATACCTCGAGACGTGCTGTAAGCAAATGTTGAACATTCAATAAAAAAGATTAAACTAGGTGAAAATAATGAGAAATAGTGAACACTATGTTATTTTGACGAGAAATGTATTTTTAGACATAGTTTAAGTACATAGTTTAAGTGTCATTGCAGCAAACAATTAGTTGAAATTTTAGATTTGATATGTTTGGTTATACACACTTGAAATCAATGAAAATTATAGAGGGTCTATGTTCTTGTAATGTAATGAAGAACTAACACTAGGTTTTTTCTTACTAAGTAATTTGAAACAGCATTTTTTGTATAACATAACAACGACTTATTTTATAACAGCACATTATTCTTACCTTTTCTGCTTAAAATATGAACATTTCTTATACACTTATTGATATCTCCATAGTCCATACTCGTTTCAATGTTTATGTATTTAGCTTTGTATTTACTTATTAAAATTTTCTACAAATCAGTTTTAGTATACTTAATCAGTCAGTGCGATCTTACTGTCTCTGAAATACAAATTATACCGATAAAGGTTGAAACAAAATAAAGTCCAGACACAAACAGAAATAAGTTGGGGAAACTGAAACACTACCAATCAAGAAATTCGTAATGGCTTCCCTAGACCTTATAAAGTGGTGATTTCATTCGTTCTCTTCACTTATGGGGTTTGTGTTGCTAAGTCTTTAGTTTTCTATGTTGTGTTTTGGTCGTGTTTCGTTTAATGCCATGGCATTGTCTGTTCATTTCGACTTATAAGTTTCATTATCCCTTGGTATCTTTAGCCTCTCTTTTATAACCTAGCTGGATCAGGTTTTGAGTATCGAGTATACCTGTGCTAATATTGTAAAGTGTTAAAGAGAAATGAAATTGACTGGACAATTATTGATTTTAACAATTTGAATGTTATAATTTATTCTCAGATGACAAAATTAAGATTAAAAATGTAACGATCTCATGCACAGTTGATTTAGGATCTACTTTCGGGTTATTTTAAGTTCCTTTTGGTTAAGCAGTCACCTTTGTATCTTCTTTTTTAAGCTTTCCCAACATTAAACATCGTGTAATTAATTCCAGGAATCGGCAACAAATCATACTGTTCATCATACTACTATTTATTACATTTTAACGAGTAAGAAAAACCCAGGTATCTGAATTACGGTGTATATAATATCAGAAATTACACTATTAACAAATTAAGTTATCATGAGTAATGAATTCTTTGGAATTGTGTCATGAATGTCGGACTACAACATATTGAACATGTCTGACATGGAGATTACCACCATTTTATACCATTAGTTGCCACTGGGTAAAAACTAATAGGACAACTAGGTACAATTACATCATTTCAACCAAGGAAGTATAACAAGGAAATAGTCTTTTTTTTATCTATTTCAATATATATAATCCAGTTTATATTTGGATTCCAAAACGAATTTATTTTCTGAGAAATGAGGATTTGATATAAAAAAAAGCATTCCTGTGTATCGCATGCTACAACTTCTGTACGGAAAAAAAACGAAATATGAGGCAAACGTTAACCCTTTTGGGATTAAGTCACACCTACAAATTCAAAGAAACCTGATTCAGATAAATGTACATTTACAATGAGATTCTAGGCAGAGAAAGCTTACTTGCTCAATCATTAATAATTTTACATTGCTATACATCAACTATCGTGGCATGTCACATACAAGATTTGTTTCCTTTTACAATCGCCTCGGTGGTCACGCGGTACCGTTCTCGCCTCGGATATTTGTTTACAGGAGGACAGATCAAACATAATTGACACTTAACATTGGTATGTAGTACGAACAAAGACTTGTCGGCTCGGAGTTGGAATAATGCCTTAGTGGAAGTGGACAGTTAACTTAAAAAACCAGACTCCGCTTGTCGATTTATCCAAAGCAGGGCATCTTCATATCATATCAATATCATCATCCCGACTATACGTGTAATATTTGCTATTTTAAGGTTTAGCAACCATCAAAGTATCGATTCCTTTAAAGTATTTATTAAACTAAATATCTCTAAACAAATACCTGGTCTTATATATCAGAGTTAAAAAAAACTAGTATTAACTTAAATTCGAGGTTTTTTTTCTGTACAATGCGGAAGAACAAGATTACTTGCAAAAACAGGAAAACACTTATCATATCAGTTGAAGCAACAAACTTTAAAAAATTAATTCAATTAATAGGAAGTTTAAAGGACATATATCAAACAATTTCCGGGATTTAGTTTGAAGTAATTTCTACATTTCTAGTACAATTCTAATGATGGATAAAAATTCACAGTTTTGTCAAGAATTGATCCGAGATTTTGAGCAGGTCGGAGTGTTTTAGCTTCTGTGATAGCATAGACCCATGGTAATCTGCACGTGGGTTGGCAAGAGTTGATGTTTCCCAAATTTCACAAATGCATATTTTTTTAATGAAAAAATAATTTGGTTCATGTAAAGTCTTGTTTTCGCTTTATTTTTTTTAACTCCTAAGCCTTGTCTGTATTCCAACTTTTAATTTATACCAATGGCAATGTCCAAAATGGTAGTATGGGTTGTTACAGAGTCATTTCACATGTTTGCCTTTGTTATTCAATCCATTAAAATTGCGATTTGTTTCTGTAAATGCAAAAGAACATAGCACCTTTTATTCAATGATAATTTTAAAGAGGCACGAAAAAAAAATATTTAAGGACACGAGTGACAATCGTAATGTACTGTACAGAAAAAAAGTTTGATGTTTTATTAATATGCAATTAACTAATCTAAGTCGCTGTTGTTCGGAAACTAACGTAACTATGCTTGAATAAAACTAATTCCCTTCCTTGGTAACACGATATTTGCAGTTTGAACTGCAGCTCTTCAACTGTTTCGGTCCTTGGAAATCCTTGGCTTTCAAATATTCGGCTTTGAGCGTTTAATTTTTCAATGTTGGACTTTTGGGGTATCGGACTGATACAATGCCTTTTTTCGCAATTGCTTTTTGTCCGACGTTGCTTTTTTTCCGAAGTTTTTGCCTTTTGACCGAAACTTTCGCTTTTTGTCCGATTTTCTTTTTTTGCTGAAAAATTTTTGTTTTTTGTCCACAACCTTTGCTTTTTGTCCGATTATATTATATATTTAAACACATCTATTTATCAGCTCCTGTCGAGATACTTTTCGGAATAGATGGAAAGATATTCAGACAAGAAAGGTGTTAAACATTTGAAGATCTAACGCTGTTTAAATTTAAAAAAGAAAGACATGAATTGTGAAAACTTGAAACCATGCTGGTACAAATGTAACTAATTACTTTGGCAGTTAATAAACTGCAGGTCTGATATCATAATTTACTTAATTCCTGCAAATTCTGTTAACAGCTATATATTAGCAACAATGACACAGATTTAGTACATTAAACAATTTTCAAAGAAAAGGTATCTAAACTTTTATATCTCGTAAACAAACAGTTGGTTAAAACTGGAAGTTTTCAAATTTATTACTATGACTTGAAATATACAATACTTCAAAAACATGAAAAATGTTCGTTGAATGATGGTTTTATACCCAAGATAAAACCACAATAGTCTTTTCAAAGAAAGGTAACTCAAAATATTTTAGGTATATACATTTTATAAAAGCAAGCACTGTATCAAGCGTGCGACGTTTGCCTTTTTGTTAGGATTTAACATTAAAGGTAGTGTTATTCTTAACCGATTTTACAGTACATGTTAGTTTAATGCTATCCCATAATGCGGGATCCTAACAAGATTTGTTTGTTTAGAACTTGACTGAACTTGTTGATAAAGTCAGAAATTGAGTTTCTGTTTAAAGCTGAGTGCAGGCTCAGATATCAGAACAATGTGCTTGCACGAGAGATAACAGGGTCGTCGTAAAGAAACATAAATTTGAAAATGCGACAAAAGCAGAAAAAATATAGAATCTTAATTATCGGCATAATGAATATTGTGATAAGTATGCTGGTCAAAAAAGAGAAACGACAACAGTTGGAAATAAATAAATACAAATGTTTTGTCATAAGATTTCATCAGATGTTTGAAAATGTTTATTTCCGGGTCTCTTGACACATAATGAATGTTTTCGCGATGCATGTAAATTAAAACAAACCATTGCTGTCTCGTGCCTGAATTTATTCCTGCTACAGCTATCTTTTTTTACCTGTTTATTGCCTTCATGTTTTGCTACTAGTATATACTTATAAACTAAGGTTTCCAATCTCTCAGGTAAAGTTGACCTTAGATGGATTTGGCTATTTTTGGGTACTTTCAGGTTATATTGCTCTTCAACTGTGTTGGTTCCTGTACATCCTCGGCTTTCAAATATTCGGCTTTGAGCGTTCCTGATGAAGGTAAATCCAGAAAAGCGCTTTGGACGCATGGAATTAATAACGTGTTGTTTTCATATTTTATACTTTTGCTTTCTGTTTATGCCTTTAATTCTTTTATTTGATTTAACTTGGTTTTACATCAGTTATATACATTTATTTCTGAGCCTATGGTACACTTAAATGTGTTTTTATACACATGCTGTTTTATCTTATGGTAAAATGTGCTTATATTTACAGTTGCTTTTACTTTTAGCGATGTTTTGGATATATGTTGTGATCGGTTACAAGAGCTTTCTTAACCTAGTATTTATTGTTAATTGTATATAATAAATTCTTCATTTAACTTTTACTAAATGCCACACATAGTGGAAGTCGTCCTTTATTCGAGCGTTCCTAATGAAGGTAAAGTCAGAAAAGCGCTTCGGACGCATGAAATTCATAACGTATTGTTTTAATTTTTTTACAGCACTGAGTCAATACCTTTACTGGTGGACTATCAGTCCCCGAGGGTATCATCAACTCAGTAGTCAGTACTTCGGTACTGACATGATTTATAACAAACTATTTAAAATTGCCCGTTTATAAATTTTGAAATTATACAGAAACTAAGGTTTCAACTCCCACAGGCAAAGTTGGCCTTAGATGGATTTGGCTATTTTTTTTTAGGTTCCATTTTGGTTTATAGCTCTTCAACGTTTTCGGTCCTTGTACATCCTTGGCTTTCAACTATTCGGCTTTGAGCGTTCCCGATGAAGGTAAATCCAGAAAAGCGCTTCAGACGCATGAAATTCATAACGTGTTGTTTTGATTTTTTTATTCGAGAAATGGATGACATTCCAGTTACTTAAGGCAAATAAGATTACAATATAACGTGAAGGTACTAAAGTTGCACTTATTTTTGGCAGTGATTTTTTCACCAACGTATATTTCAGACAAGATAAACATTTTCATTCTGTGCTTATATTGTAGATGTATCCTTATTTACTACATAGTTCAACACAATTAATTTTGAATCCATACTGAATTATAGAAAAATGGTTTTGCACCGGCCTCAAAACGACCCAAGATTCTGTACATAATGAGGAGTACCTAAATTGCATCCATGCTTAAATTTACATATTCAAAAGTCAAAGAATCGG